GATGTGGAGAAATTGGAAAGGGTACAGAGAAGAGCGACAAGAATGATTAAAGGTCTAGAGAACATGACCTATGAAGGAAGACTGAAAGAATTAGGCTTGTTTAGTTTGAAAAGGAGAAGACAGAGGGGATATGATAGCAGTTTTCAGGTATCTAAAAGAGTGTCACAAAGAGGAGGGAGAAAAATTGTTCTCCTTGGCCTCTGCTGATAGGAACAGGAAGCAATGGGCTTAAACTACAGCAAGGGAGATTTAGGGTTAGACATTAGGAAATATGTCCTAACTGTCAGGCTGGTTAAACACTGGAATAAGTTGCCAAGAGAGACTGTGGAATCCCCATCTCTGGAGATATTTATGAGAAGGTTAGATAAACATCTGTCGGGGTGATCTAGATGGTGCTTGGTCCTGCTGTGGGGGCAAGGGACTGGATGGACTTGATGACCTCTTGGGGTTCCTTCCAGTTCTAGTATTCTATGATCCTATGAATGGTCACTACATCAAGACATGGGCCATCTTCCAGCTGTAGGAAATACTGAGCATGCCATCAGTTCTACTCCCACTGCTGGGTCTTTGGACACTTTTCTGCTATTGGGGATGAACTCCCTATGTTTGCCTTGGCTCTGATACTATTACTTCCTAGAGTCATATTCAGGGCCAAGCAAGAGCATACTTGCCTCATACCAACAACCCCAGTGTGGCCTCAGCAATGTTGGTTCTTGACCCTATTAGCATTTTTAGTTGGGCCTCTTCTACTACTCCATTGTATTCAGACATCATTTCTCAGGGCCATGACAGTCTGCTCCATGTTAAGCTGCAGGCCCTTCACTTGACAGCATGGATGCTTCATGGCTAACACTACTAGAAAAGACTTGCTTGAAAATGTTCAGGAGATGCTTCTGATCAGCAGAGAGCCTTAAACTAGGCAAAATTACCTGGCAAAATGGAAGCGCTCTCTTAATCTGGTTTCAGCAGAGATGTCTCCCTGCAGGACCAGCTTCCATTAACAGGATTTTGGCACTTCCAATAGCAATAGCTTGACAGTTCCATTAAAATATATTTGTGATTGTAGCATTCCATTCTGCAGTAAGTATTAATTTTTTTTTCCAACTCCATAACTGAGATTTCTAAAATGGTTGAACAGATTATTTCTTTCGGTACAAGAACCCCATGGGATCTCAAAATTAACAATGCCACCCTTTCAACTTCTTATGATTTGTTGCCTACTTTACTTCTCTCTGAAAGCAGCATTTCTGATGCAATAACCTCAGCAAAGAGTGGGTATATAGGGAACCTTGGTTTCACAACTTCCTTACGTGGCTTTTCTATAATGATAAACTTTATCTCTGCCCTCACAAAATTCTTAACAAAGGTCATTTTCTGTTTCTCCAGTAATCATGCAATTTATTTGCCAGTGTTTTTCCAGAAACCTCATGTGTATACAGATGAGCAGAAGCATCATTTAATGGATGTGAGAAGAGCATTGGCCTTTACTTGGACTGCTCCAGACCCTTTACACAGTTATTTTTTTGTGATTGTTGACAGCATAGAAAGCAAACGTATTTACATGTTGGATTGCCGTCTGGATTTTTGCTTGCATTTGTTTGTGCAGATAGCTAGCTAATGTCATGCTACCCTAAAGTATTCACTAAGTTGATCACAGCACAAGCGGCTTCAGCTTTCCTAGCACAAGTACCTATTCAAGACATTTGTAAAACAGAATTATGGTCACATGATTTTGCTGCCTATTTCCCATCAGTCCAAGAACAATGCTAGTTCTTTGAACATTCATTCAGACAGAGTGCAAACCTGCCTCAATGTTAACCTGCTTGTGTGTCACCTATGATGGAACAGACATATGAGGTCATGTGAAGAAAAAACATCGCCTAACTTTTTTATAACTGGCCTTGGAGATGTTACACATGTCCATTCCACAGCCTGCATTCCTTGCCTCCCTCTTGGAGTCTTTGTGGTAAGAAGAAACTGAAGAAGATTGAGGATGGGTCTGCCCTCCTAAACCTGCAGGCACTGCTGCACGGTGGCAGGCACTGGAGTCACTCTGATGGGTACCATTGAGGGGGAAAAAGTTCCCAACAGTGCACAAGGCGCATACTTGCCTACAATGGAATGGACATGGGTTTTGGAAAGTAGATAAAACTACTGTTTTCCACTTCTGTTAAACACTGACATTAATACTTAAAGTGCTTCCTCTTCACAGCTTACCTTTTCTGCCTAATTCATTCTGAAGTTCTAATGCTGACATAGGAATTACTTCCGGAGCAAATGACTGGCATTAATACAGTATCACAATGTCACACAAATATGCAAGTTGGCTGGTTATCTGTATGGGGAAGCTGGTTTTAGACCTAGGTCCTAATTATCCCCTCTGCATCTGTGTTCAGATTCATATTTCTGTGACATTTAACACAGGCTGCGTCTAGACTGGCATGATTTTGCACAAATACTTTTAACTGAAAAGTTTTTCCATTAAAAGTATTTGCGTAAGAGAGCGTCTATACTGGCATGTGCCTTTGCACAAAAGATTTGCTTTTGCGCAAAAGCATCAGTGCCAGTGTAGATGCTCCCTTGCGCAAGAAAGCTCTGATGGCCATTTTAGCCATCGGGCTTTCTTGCGCGAGAAATTAACTTGGCTGTATACACTGGCCCTCTTGCGCAAGAATACTTGCGCAAGAGGGCTTATCCCTGAGCAGGAGCGTCGGAGTATTTGCGCAAGAACCACTGATTTTGTACAGTAAAAAGTCAGTGTTCTTGCGCAAATACTCACGGCCAGTGTAGACAGGTGGCAAGATTTTGCACAAAAGCAGCCGCTTTTGTGCAAAATCTTGCCAGTCTAGATGCACCCAGAGTCTGCAACTATTCTTCACCATTATCCTAAGGTGAAACTTTGCACAAGGATGGCCTAAAGAATTGCTGAGGAGGTCATGGGTCTCTGAGTATCCCACAATTCACTGATTTGGGGGACTGAGTAGTTGTCCATTCCACAGATGAACCAGCTTGCCCAGCTCTCCACTGAATGATGAAGAGGAAATTCAGAGTTGAATCTAATTTGTATTTTGTATTTTGGTTTCCTCCCCATACAAGAGCATGTGTCCCCTAATTTCAGAAATGATAGGAATTATTCAATATCAATTTTTTTTGGAGATTCACAGATATTAGGTAAACCATGGAGAATTGGAAGCTTCTATAGGTGACCAGCATTGTACATTCTCCTCCACATATAAAAGAGAATGCATACATTTTCCATTCCTCCATGGTTTAGTGTTTTTCCTACTGTGTTTGTTCAGTGCACAATTGCTTGTACTAATACCAATTTAAAAGGAAACCTGTTCCATTCTCTACACTTTTCTGTCTTTCAATACAAACACTAGCATTACTCTAAAAACTAAAGGACATTTCTTATAGTCAGTTAACTAATTGGAGAAGAGAGGCCTGTGTGGTGATTTTTTAATTTTTTTTTTAAATTATTGGTGTACTATTCAAACTAACAGATTTGTTAGTACAGGTTGAACCTCTCTGGTCCGGCAACATCCGTGGTCTGGCTGGACCAGTGAGCCCTGGAAGAGAGAGCCCCAGAAGACCAGCGGCAGGGAGTGGAGCCATGAGTCCAGCAGTTGAGGCTGCCCAGAGAGCAGGTAGCCTCGTGGCCTGGGGATAGGGGAGCTCTGTGGAGCTCTCCAAAGCCAGGGGTTAGCAGAGGCCAGCTGGCTACGGAGCCCTGGCACTGGCCACAAAGCTCTGGCGATCTGCTGTCAGACCCCAGGACAGCCGAGAGTCCATCAGCAGAGGGGCTGGAGTTGACCTCCCCATGTCCATCAAACTCACTCCTTCAGGACCAGTCAGGTGTCAAACCAGGGAGGTCCAACCTGTAGTAGCAGCTCTTGCAGTCATTACTGGCTGCAGATGTGCACTTTCAGTCTGGTCATTGGAGCTCTATTAACAATTATAGTTAAAAGCTGGACAGAGGAACACATTTGGAAGCATGTGGGTATACGACAGACTTGTGAGCAGTAACATTAGTCCTGGCCAACAGTTGACACATTTTCAGTGGAGTGGATAACATTGAAATTATACTTGATAATGCAATTCTATTAGCTATCAAAATGTTATTGCTGCTCCTTAACTTAGCACAACCCAGAAACAAAGTGGAGTCTTACTAAAGGATGGCAGATTAATCTGTAGCTAATGCTATTAAACTCACTTCATTTTGTTAGAATAGAATAGAGGCATAATTGTCCTCCGGGATAGATATTTGGGAGGGAGAGTGGAAGAGAGAATCACTGCAAAGCCAATTAGAGGTTGAACCTCTCTAGTCCAGCACATTCTGATCTGGCAACATCCGTGGTGCAGCATGATTTAATTAGCTGGACGTCCACTTATCATGGGTGTGACCAAGTTTCCCACAATCCCATAAAGTTTGTTTACAGCCACCAGTCCTGGCTCTGTGTTCTGTGCTGTTATTTAGCTCTAACTTACCCCTAAATATCTTCTAAGAGCCCAGTAAGCAGTGGAAGTGCTGGTCATGCTGCTAAACAATATTGACATGGTCTGGCAAATTCTTTAGTTCAGAACCAGTCAGGGCCTCTCGTGCTATGCTAGAGAGGTTCAACCTGTATCATCATCCCATCTTTGAATTAAAAGAATATTGCCACAGACTCAGTGTAAAGCTTAAGAAATGTTTTTTCAAGTTAGGGTGCAACTATATCTGTTTCTGTATTATAGCATCAAATGGGTCTAAAATCAGGAAATGTATAATTTATATAAGCTCAATATGAAGGAGGTTGGAGCGTGAAAGCAGGGAAGTTTTTAATTTTACAAAGAGTTCCTGGATTATGGCTTATTTCTGTACACACACTTTGCTGTATATACTACATAAACAACTTTTTCCCTTTACAATAGGTCCTAAAATCGTATTGTGATTTATTAATTTATTCATACAGGTGTTTTTTTCTTTCCCAATTTCTTTCCTCTTCCCCTTTTTCCTGTAGATCTATCAGGTCCAAAAGGTAGGGTTTGTCTGATCTCATGAATTATGGTTTGCATGCATTTCTTTTTCACATCAGGGGCCTTTATACCATTTCAGAAATAAAACCCTCATGAATGCATGATACGCAGCAGGATTTTTCTGTGTGTAACTATCCCTAATTATTGTGTGTCTTCGTACCCTAACTGTCCTCCTTTCCCTGCAGCTCTGAGAATTCTGCTGGTAGTTAAGAACATAATGTGCAGAGTCAAAACAATTCAAAACAACCTCTTTTCCCTGTCAAATGCTCTCTTTTTTAGCTTTCAGTATCTCTAGCTCACATCTGATGATTACAAGTTATTCACTCCCATTGATTTTCATGTAAACTATCCATGCAGTCAGTGAAAGATTAATTTGGCAAATCAGGCATAATAGGAAACTGTTTGGTGGCTTTTTTGTGTCATAAACTGTATAGTAGTTTGTGGAATGAATGCAAAATTAATATTTTAATATGCTTATAATGGTAGTTATTGATGATCAGCAAGTCTTCGTGTTATGTCAAAATCTCAAGATGTACAGCACTTGAACTACATGAACCATATAATACCTAAACAGAAATATTTAAAAAAACTTACTTACCATGGTGTCTTGGGGAAAGAAGGAAGCCCAAGATTATATAAACCTACAGCCATGCAGCTTCTTTAATAAATGGTCCGAGACTGTTACCTTTGAACCATAATTGGCTTCTGAAAATCAAACGCTAGTTTGCTTTGATCTATCGCTCCAGTATCCTTTGTTGCATGTTTCACTGGCTGACTACATTGTGTAGAGATTTGAAGGTGCTGTTATATTTTGAAAAATGAATATGTAAAATCACTTTCTTATTGAAATAAGCTGCTATCCATTCAGAGCAATAGCTTTATTACTTCTGTAACAAAAAATAAATTTGAATTTTGTTATCTTTGGTGAACCAACTCTTTTGGAATAGCAAGTTGAATTCCGTTTCTGCCAGCATGTCAACAAATTCATTAACTAAGTCCCAGTTACAGGATCAGATTTAACCCTTAGTTACAGTATATATGTAATCCCTATTAGAAGCATTCTGATTGTTCAAACAGACCAAGCTAAAATTTGGCCCTAAAAATAATTACTATATAACCAGGAAGTACCTAGATTAACTTTCAGATCCCATCTTTATACTGTTTGAAAAGCTGCCAATTAGTATTCAATCTGATAGCTTCAAGTGGGAAGGAAAGTCTCAAAGGAGAACTGCAAAATTTTGAGAAATATTGAAATATTTTATGGATGTCCTTTGTCCTTCTTCACAAGACTGAATTCAGAAGCCTGACAGATTTGCCCCAAATCCCTAAATGGCCTCCTCAGGAATTAAATTCACAACCCTGGATTTATTACATTTTTAGTTCAGTACTAATGATGAGATGGATAAAGCTTGTAACTGTGGTAGGGATGTAAGTGATTAGTTAACTATCCAATAAGCAAATAGTCAACTAGTTACTCAACTAGTGCCCCCCCCCCAGCTGCCTCTATTAGAAAGTCGGTTTCCCCCAGCACTGTCTCCGTGGGGAGAAGGGGGAGGGGCACAGCAGAGAACTAGTGGTGCTTCCCCTTTTGAAATGTAGCAAAAGCAGGGCTCTTGTACATTTCAAAAGCAGGGTGCGCGGGGCCAAAAGGGGGCTGCTTGAGTCTCCTGCTGGCCATGTTCTCCACGGCGCTTCTGCCTTTGACATGTAGCAAGATCCGGCAGGATAGTCAATGCAAATTACATCAACTTTTTGATTAGTTGGTCTAAATTTAACATCCTTAAACTGTGGTCAATTGCTGATGAAACAATAGAAATTAAGTAAAGCCAACCTTAAAGTACAGGCAGTCCCCGACTTACGTCGGATCCGCACTTACGAACGGGGCTTTCTTGCCCCGGAACTCACAGGCAGCGGTCAGCCACCTCGAACTCCAGGGCGAGAAAAGCTGCTCCCGGTGCCCCTGGTCTGCTGGGGTCCGTCTCCAGCAGACCAGGGGCATCGGGAGCAAAGCCGCAGCCCCGGTGGGTTTGCTCGCGGTGCCCCTGGTCTGCTGGAGACGGTCTCCAGCAGACCAGGGGACAC